AGTGCGGTTGGCGGGGTGGCTCACCTCGAAGTGAGGGCGACAGGCTAACTGACTGTATTTCAGTTTGCATCGTGAATCGGACCAAGCGAGTGCTTCCTGCAGCTTTGACGAGACGTCGCAGGTGCGGGGTGCACAACAACACATCAATTTGCTGAAAACAAACTCCAGACATTGGTAGAAGTTCGCGAACGGAAAAAGGTAGTCTTCGAGGGTGTAAACGTAGTGGTGAGCCTCTGGTTGCCATGAAGAAACGCTACTTTGGACGCGCCACGTACAGTAACGCCGCCCGAACCGTCGCACTTCCGCCTCTGTTGCGGAGGGACATGAACAAGTCCGGTTCGCGCGCGCGGTCATGCCAATAATACTGCCATCCATCCGGCCAATCCAAATTGAAGTTCTACAAATCTGACCAAATGATTTCATTCCAATCTGGAGGCTGGATAGTTGGCTCCACAAACCCAAAACTAGCTTAATTGTGTTGCTCTCTAGTCGTACTCGAGACGATACCATCGGTTGAGATGGTGGTGAACTGTGCGCAGAGTGTTTTGTTGGTTAGAGCCGTCATGATTTGCGTACAGAGATTCCTGTCGTGCATGCCCCACGAATAAAGCGACGTTGCGCCATGGCAGATGGCTTGGTGGTCTGTCGCGAACGATTTTCGGTTCCTTATGTATCGTGGCTTGTTATACAGCCCCGACCCACACTGTGGGACCGCCCAATCAATGGGGATTTGGTGGCCACAAAGGGTTACAATATGCCCCTTCTTGTAATCGTAAAGATGGGGACTTCTGGGCATGTGACTCGCGTTTTGGGCCGTGTTCTCCTACTACGTTTTAGTTTCATGCGTTTGTGGTGTTTAAGTGTTTCTCCTGCCCAGCATGCACCTCTGTATGCCGCGCTGGAAAACCGCATGAGCGACTCGTTTGCGGCTGCTACGAATTTCGGCTCGATTTCAAATGCATGACGTGTGTTTTTACGTTTAAGGCTTGTTCCATGAAATTTATGCTTCACTGAATATCTGTCCTCAACAAACTTCACTAGACCTCCGTATCAAAGATTGAATTCCTGCTCAAAGAATCAAGTATTTACGAAAAACTAGTACAAATATCGAAAAGGACTGTAAGTCTTATCAGAGATTGAGATACAAAGAAAAAGGTTCATTTTTCAGTATTAGATCAGTACAGCACATAAATTGAAATATAGGGTAAAATTGCGTCGAAATGGTCAAGCCCTGCACACGAATATCTATGACAAGTCTATACGGGCGACATCGAGATCGCGCGAATGGTCAATTTTCTATTGGTTACCGCCAAAACCCTCGATGACACAGCCACACAGGGCCGGCACAACGAAATTCACCGCACGGCATCAAGATGTTCTTAAACGTTGCCGCAGCGCCTTAAAGTTCAGACGGTCTGGGACCAGGTGCACCTCGAGGAGTGCCTTCATGACTACGGCGAGCTTGCGAATGAGACAAACTACTTGGCCTCCTACAACAAACTTGCCATAGACACGACATGGAGGAAGGTGGTAACGCGGTGTTCCAAAACTTTACCAACGTCACTTCGGAGGAGTTTGACACGTTCTTGAGTCCCATCTGAGCCCGTCGTCGATACCAATAATCTGAGGCATGGTTTGTACATTGAAATTGGATGTCGCTTACGATATGTGGACAAGGATGTCTCTTTAGAGTATAATTGAAGTTTTAGGTCAATACTACTCTGTTCCACAAAATTTGTCACGTTCCGCTCTTGATTGGCAGCATTTTTCTAATTGTACCCCGTCTGGGTGTCTCATTGGCGCGCAAGGTCTCTGCTACGATTGGGTAGTTTGCGGTACTTTCCTGTCATTTTGGTTGTTGAGATATCGCGGGGCAAAACTGGTGGGCATTTGTCTCTGTAAGAAAAATCTACACCAGCACTTCATTATACAATTAATCGACTCCAAAACACTACCTGAACTCACCTACTACTACTACATGCCCCTTCCATCACCACCGGGATCCGTCGACGCACCAAGCAGTGTCGGGAGTCTTTGGACGTCCGCTAGCACTTGAGCTTTTCTCAACGTCGCACCGTGTACGAAATGCTGTTAAGCGTAGCGGTGCGAGGTATACTGCCACAAAGGGCTCTGACCAAGCTTACACAGAAGTTTCACTGCCATACGCGGACGATATCACAGCTGTGGAGACAAACGAACCTCTCGCGTCGTGTAGGTGACCATGGCACCGATGTCACAACAAAAAACGAGGGAAAATCTTCTCAAACAAAATGTTTATATTTATTTATGCAGTTATCAATTTATGGGGGCATACGTTTGTAGGAAACTCGGGACGCGGGGTTACCAATGAAATGCTTCGTGCAAAAGGAGTTCGCGGAATTGAAGTTGCTAACCAACCCCCGAACAGCCCCGATTTCAATAGTTGGACTTAGGACTCTTTAATTCTATTCAAAGCCTGCAGTACCAAAAGTGCACTCGAACCATCGAGAAGCTTATTGTTGCTGTAGAAAACGCGTTCTATGAGTTGCCGACTGACACGCTTGCAAAGACTTTCGTAACTCTTCAAAACGTGATGGAATTGTCCATTGATATACTTGGTAGCAATGATTATAAACTTCCTCACATGAAGCAGGATGCTCTCATTGCAGACTTAGCAATATCGAGTTTGACGCTATGAGAGCGCTTTGGCTCATTTGAATAGCCTACTGGGTGAGGAGGTTCACCTCGATGCCATGGCCAATTCTCTTGAATGAGACACTAAAACAATACAATAGAATTTTTGCAGCGTTTATGTTGTTTTGGAGTTGAATACAAAAATCAAGACGTTGCAATGGCGCTCTACATACTTTAATCTAGTGAAAAGTACCTGACAATTTTTGTGGAACGGAGTGGTATGATTTACTACTCCGGTCCAAAAGAGTTGTCACATGTGCCTTCTCATGGCGGCATTTTTCTAAATTGGACTCTTTTTTAATTCTGATAGGTGTATTAGAACGCGCAAGATCTCTCCTTTAATTGGGTAGTTTTCGCGTGTAAAACGACACATTTTTGGGGGAGATGTCGACCACCAAAGTCCGTTGGTGATGTCGTTTGAGAACCAAACAACCCGCCCAGGGTACATTTTGCAATTTTGCGTGCGCTGGCAAGTGTGAATACATTGCCCTACAGTACACCGGATATGAACTGTGTGTGGACTGGGGATGCAAATACAGTACTTCCCACCGAGTCCGCGACCACGATCGTCCGAAAGCACCTTCGACTTGACGAACGTCATGCTGCATACAAAATGCTTCTGGAGGCGTCCCACGAAGGGGAACTACCTCGTGGGTCCCTCAAGAAGACAGCAGACATGTTTGGCTGTCATTGGCGGACGATGTTGCGACTGTGGAGCCGTCGTCTCTCGTCGATCTGTCGCGTCAAAGTTGCGTGGTAAACCTCCCAAAATCAATATACTATCATTTATCAAAGCTATTATGTTTAACAAGTGAACTCATATTAGGAAACTCAGGACGAAACGAAAACGCACCGCGGAAGAAATTGAAGCGGCAATCCGCCAAGTTCCACACGACCGCCGCCAGACCTTGCACTCACTTGCCCATGCGTGCCAAATCCCCAAGACTACCATCCTCAACCACATCAAGGACCGCTCAAGCTACGTCAAGCCGTTCCTGACGCTGGCCAACCAAGGCGCTCGGTTGAAGTTCGCGTTGAACTTCGTTCGACCTTCGTCGAATGGACGCCAAGTTTTCGCCAGCATGTACGAGTATGTACATGCTGACGAAAAATGGTTCTGTCTGACGAAGGTCAAACGTGAGTTCTACGTGTACGAAGACGAAGAAGTCGCCAAACGCGCAATCAAGTCAAAGAGCCATGTTACGAAAGTCATGCTCCTCGCGGCGATTGCAAGGCCACGCTTCGACCACCACGCGAAGAAGACCTTTGACGGGCAAGGTTGGTATTTGGCCGTTTCTTGATGTCGTCCCTGCCAAAAGAAGCAGCAAAAATCGGCCAAAGGGAACACTTCTCACCGTGCCACAGACGGTGTGCGCAGAGGTATATTGCAACGCCATCGTAGTCCGAGATCAAGAGGGTCCATGGTTGTGTTGTGTATGCTTTTTGGTATCACTGCGTCTGTTTGCTCCCTCTTCTTGAAGTTTGTACGGCGAATTTTGCTTCATGTGCTGGAGTCAAGCAAT